GACTCTACATTTTTCGATGTTCCTGAGAATGGCGTTGTGGCGTCGAAAAATGTAGAGTCGTCAACTTTTTGAAGGTCATAGATAGGCCTAAATAAAATATTTTTAACTGTGTACCAGTTTAACGTTGAATATTATTTATGATTTTAACTTTATACACAAGTGCCAAAATACTATAATTATAGTAATAGTTATTGTTTATCAGAGAATTGTTCGTAAATTAGTTGTAAATGTTATGACATAATCATAAGTGGAAGTGGTAAATAAATGTTTAACTATATTGTATGCGTACGCATCTGTTGCATATGTTTCTGCGTTGTTGATATGTTTGTGGAGAGTGTTGTTACTTGGTTAAAAATATCGAAATATGTGTTTCACATTTGGTAATCGTTGGTATGTGTTTAGTAGACATTATATATAAGTGTTAAACGTTGTTATATGACATCAAATGCAGTTTTATAATGGTTGGAGACGGCTTGAATGGGTAATGAAGAAAAACTTTAATATAAGTTTAACATAACAGCAAATGTACAGCGTTTCGACAAGGTTTTGTCATCATCAGGTCGAAATGTTGTACATTTGCTGTTATGTTAAACGTATATTAAAGTTTTTCTTCATTACCCAATCAAGCCGTCTCCAACCATTATTAGACTCAAAGTGGGTTCCTCGTCATCGAAAATGCAGTATTTGTTCGTATGGTAATCGTTGGTATGTGTTTGGTAGACATTGTGTATAGATGTTAAGCGTTGTTATATGGCATCAAGACCAGTACTTGTTCGTATTTTCCTCTTTCATTTCATTTTCCGTAAATTCGTCAAAATGGAAGACGTGAATGTGTAACCTTTGGTTACAAAGGAATATACCTTTCGGAATATGATCGTAGGTGAAAGAAAAATTCGTCTATACATGTACAAGAAAGAAGTTTAAAATAAACATTATTCTTTTACACATCAATAGAACCTGATGTTGTTATATCCTACCAATCGAATATGTAACAAATTACCACAAGTTTAATATAATACAGTTAAAGGAACGTCTTAATCATTAATTACAAAATCTGATTTACAAAGTCCTTAACGAAAGATTGCGGAAGTCACATACGTGGTAACGAAACTAACATCTAGTTTCTATTTAACCAAAGAACCATTTTAACATGTATCCTATGTTTGTCCTATTGTAGGTGTGTTGTTCTACTTTCCGTTATCAGTTTGGCTTACGTTTGGTTTCACAGTTACTAACTGAAACCTAACACGTTTTGTGTTTATAGCCTCTGTGTAGTTGTGCTCAAAACTTGTGAAACAAATTAACACGTTTTTATCATGTCATTTAACATTCGTTAATTTGTTCATAGATGACTCGATTTAATATTACTTACTGAACGATTTCCTCCTTTCCTAAGTTTTGGAGTTAGAAAAGATATCTTTTTCGTGTGATCACGACATTGTATTCAACTCAAGGAATTCCAAACCTGTTACTTTAAGGTCTTATTTTATGATAAAGAACGTTACGGTAGTTGAAAGTTCGTTTTACTTCATTGTGTGTGGAACCTGTGTATGTACATTTGATTTCTGGACCAGTTATTTTTAGGTAGAATGTGTGTCATAATTACGTCATTTTTTCACATTTCAGCATCCAGAACGCTCAACTTCCGATAATTTGGAGAAATATGGCACCGGTCCCGATGAAATAAAAGAAGGATTTTAGAAGATATTCTAAACTTTATGGATTGTTATTTCTATAACGGTGAGTGCTTGGAAAATTACAAAGAGGTAAACTATGTAAACATAATTTACATATTTAGGTATTTTTACTAATATTTTCCAATGCAGTTGGGTCGGGCGTGGGCGAGTGGTTAACGTGTCGTACTGTGAACCCAACGCCGAATATATATATATATATATATAAATAAATTACGCTCTGCACTTTAGAGGCTTGAGTACGTTATAAAAGTGACTGTCAAATCCAATTATTACATTCGATTAGAGAAACCCAACAGTTGGCGGTGGTTCCTGTTGACTATCTGTTGTCCCGCTAGTCTCTCAGTTTAAAATTGAGGAAGACTAGCGCATGTAGTCCTTGTGTAGCTTAGCGCGAATATCCAAAACAAAACAGACTAATTAGAAAAACGCATCATCTCTATGCTGCTCTAATGATGTTTTAGAAGACACGGACAGTGTGTTAAAACCGCACCCGACTAGATCAGTTCTTTCTTCCAAAGGATGAAGCTAAAGTATGAAATTGAAATGCTATAACAAACAGAGCATATAATCAAACAAAAACCGAATGTTTCACAGTTCGAATGTGTCTGGAATAACTCACAACCACACTAAATTATTCAATACGCACACAGTGAGGATTTATATTATATGAATCGGTTAAAAGGCTGTCTGAGGTGGAATAAAAGTCAATGAACTATGGTGTATCTGCCTGTGGCAGAGCCAGATGGTCTAAGTCAACTGAAACGTGGTCTTTTATATTGAATTATTTAACATACAGTGCACTATCTGATGCTTTATGTACAAGACAGTGATCGCAACAACAGTCAAAACGTTTTGCAAATAAACACAAATTTCAGAAACAACCAACTGAAAAGCTTGCATTTCTTCAAATAGCACTCGAAAGTTGGAAACCTCAAAGTTAAATTATACAATGAAGTAATAATTAATAGAGACTATATTTACGTTGTCAAGATAAATGCAATGGATCTACATTATATGTTAATGCGAATCAATGAAGTTACGTTAATTCAGAGTTTAATTATTCTCATTTAATACTATTTTATGATTTAAAGAATAAAGCAAAGATAACAATTACAAATAACAATAGCAGCAATAAAACTTTTAATCTGATGTATTACTTAATAGGAAACTCTCAAAGGTGAAAATATTTCTACTATTTTATTAATATTCTTTATCATTTCCTGCTTTTTGGTTACAGAAAGATTTATGTATTTTTTATTGTTCTGCACTTCTACGTCAGAGAACATCTCTAGTTGGTCGTCATCGTTCCTGCACAGCTTTCACTTCGAGGACTTTATTCACTGATCATTGTATTATCATATTTCTAATGACAGTTATACTTTTGTAATTAACTATCATGATGTTAATTTATTAGATGTGTTTTGGAACATAAATATTTTTCGCTTTGTTAGATAATAATCGATATTATACTTACATTTGACTATTTTATTAATGACTCGTCATAACATATCACAAATCTAATAAATATACCAAATTATTCTAACAAACAGATATTAATTTCTAACAGGTAATTAAATTATGATATAAAAAAAAACAGTTTCTATTGCTTCATTACTAACTGATCAAGTTAATACACTGTGAATCAACCAACCAGAATGACCAATTGAATTCCACATGATTGTTGTTTGGAATATCAATAGATATGATATTCCAAATAATGACCATGTGGAATTAGTCATCATTAAATTGTAGTAACATATCACTTCTTCTTCAACCATTTTATTCCCTTATCTAAGCAATAGCCTCCCTTTGAACGTCCTTCCATTGATCCATATCTCATGTCGCTCTAAAATGTTGTACTAGTTGATCCCTCCATCTCTGTCTTGGCCTTCCTCTTTTTCTTTTCCTGTCATTTGGCTGAGATATTGTCGCCTTCCGTCTCCATATACTTTCCTCTTGTCTAGCTATGTGTCCTGCCCATCTCCAACATTCTACATTTTTTAAAACTGTCTCTACAACATCTCCAACTCCAGTTCTCTCTTCCATTTAGCTGTTTCTTTATAGATAGAGTTTTATAGTTCCTGGTATATTTCTTTCCACAGCTTTTTGAAGTATTTGTAATATTTACTTCATTTCCCCATTCAGTCTCAAGGTTTCACTTCCGCAAGTCAGTAGTTAAACAATTTCCTTCCTAGAATTATTTAAATTTTCATTTCACGTAGAACATAACCCAATTTGCTAAATTCTGTCCAGTTGACTCTTATTGCCCTTTGGATTTCTTCTTCCTAGCTTCCGTTCAAAATAATTTCTTGAGGTATTTTTACATACCAACTTCCTCGATCTGTTTTTCCTTGTACAATATTGTTTCTTTTTTTGCAACATTCATTAAACATCACTTTTGTTTTGACATGTTCATTGTCAATCGAAACCAACTACTTTCTGTTTTTTCGCTCTTTGGCAGCAAGTTATCATTACTATATCATTAGCATATCTAAGGCTATGTAATTTACCCCATTTAAACCAAGACTTCTTTTATCCCAGTATAATTTATAAAATACTTTTATATTGCCACATGAAATAGGTTAGGAAATACAGTATCTCCCTGTGTGATTCCTCGCCTGAATATTTATAAATACTGTCTCTTTCGTCATAATTTATAATGATCTTAGTTTGAACATCATCATAAATTAACATACCACAGGTCCAATAAATATATTAGACTGTTTTAACAATCAGATCTTCGTTATGAAAAAGTAATTAAATTATAGTATTTAATAACAATCATTAGGTGGTTGTCGTTAGAAAGATCAGTTCTCATTAATATTATAAGTAATATTAAAATTTTGAATATGTAGTTGAGAATTGTTAAGCATATCACATTTCATATAAGCCCAGTGTTTTATATAATGTATGAGTATTAGAATATTTGCATTGTTTGGTATTGGCTTTTGAGTGTAAATTTCCAATAAAGCAATGGTTTGAATATTACATAAAATTAATGAAGACGCGAACAAAACTAGTATAAAAACATTTGGTTGCCATTTCAACTTCATATTAAACAGGATGCTCGTGACTGTGTCATTTGTGCATTGTTTCATGCACTCCATTGTGCATATGAAATGAAAACATTTAGTTGATAAAATACTTTAACATTAAAAAACGTTGAAACAAAATCTATTGGAAAGAAACGTGAAATCATAAATTATTCTCTTTATACTGTGACTCTTTAGTAACTGGTAACTTATACTTACAACAATTTACTAAGTCAGTCAGAGTAACTTTCCGCCTTATTTAATTGTAGTATTGACGCCTATTGTAACTGATTCGCTCATAATGGTGAACATTGACTATTATAGAACTATTTAAACTACGATTACTTTGATTCATCCTGAATTTCACCATCAACATATATTGAAGCCGAAAGGATATTTAACGATTTTTCTTTCGCGCCTGAAACTTGACAAAGATTATAGTTTGCCACTCCAATTTAGAATACAAGAAACCACAATATTTAGACGTTAGAAAATCGTGCAGCATTTTTTAGACCTCGTCTAACTTGTCTGTCCGTAAATGATGCCATATCACGCATACATATCATTTGTATAAATCTGTGCATTTTCAGCAAATATCTAAAATATTACACTCTTAATAAACCTTGTCATATATTCTTATTTAACTTTTCTGTATCGAGGTTACGTTCTTTGTATCACACTTTATATTGTAAATATCAAAGAACAACAAACGTTCTATCATGAGAAGAAATTTTAAACAGTACGTGCTACTGTTGTATCATCATCATCATCATCATAGACAGCAATACATCGATAATTCTACCGATGCTTAGCTGCCACACAATCATGAATTATTATTGCTGTTGTATGATAAGTTCCATAGGAGGAATTTGAATTAAAAGAAGTAATTTCATGCTTTGCACACTTAACTTTATGAAGTCCTGTATAATTATCATGACCTATTTATTAAAGTGCAAATACGAACATCCTTTCTCACCGTTTTCAGTAAAAAGTTCTATCAGATTTATATGTATCTACATACATATAGTATAAAAAATAATAATACATCTTCTTTGTTATTTGCATTTAAATAGGAAATTAAAAAAAAATAAACGAACCAGCATAATTTTGCACAAAGTTATTGGAAAAATTATCTTTCAATATAGAAGTTATTGATTTTATCGGAAATATTTCTTACATAACATAATAGTACATTTGAAATAAATATATGAACGAGATTTATGATGTTTCAATACATAATCTTTAATGAAAGAAAATTGTTATATTAAATCTAGCTATCTTCTGAGGAAAACCTAGATGTATACTTAATTGTAAAGGAATATCATAGTACAATAATGTTTCAAGTAAATATTGATATGTATTTTTTCCTGGTTTTTATATACGTGTATATGTGAATTAATCTAACTGCGTTTCATTGTTTTAAACTAATTATAGGTGTTGAGTAAAATAGTTCTAACGATACAATCTCTACTGGAGCTTGAAAGTGATAAAATATTATTTATTCAATCCTTTTTTACAAATAAAGTTACAAATTGCTCAAATATTACTGGATAAAAGTATCAAAAGTCTTTTTTAGTACTTAAACGAAAATAGAATCAACATATCATTTTGATTGTGTTTTATACGTTACAAAACAAACTATTTAAAGCAAAAAAGGGTAAGGTTCTTGAATTATAAATATAGGATAACGTCATGGTATATTTCCAGTGTAAACAGTATCATAATATATCACCTTCTAGTTATTAAACCTCAAATAATTTATCTTATTTACCTTTTTAACCACCTTCGCCAATTTGTGTCAACATTTAATTTGTTTTCATTAAATTTAATTGTTTTTATTTTTTAGCCCGTATTGCGATAGTGTTTTAAGAAAACCGATTAAATGTTATTAGGATGAGTCATGTAATACATTCACTTTACAAAAACGTATGAAGGGTAGGAGAAAATGCTAAATTTATGTTGTGTTATAATTTTAGCTAATGGTTGCGTATGGAAAGATATCAAATGAATTTTGGCGTTTTGCGAAGAAACAGTTAAATATACATAAAAGTATTAAGTTAAAAAGTATGTCAATTTGTTATTTAAACTTTCGCTTTAGCTTGATTTGTGTGACTTTTCTGAAGGGTAAGTGCAATGCTGCTTGTTGAAATTCTTGTGTAAGAAGTTAAATGAATTTACCTGACGTAGCTAAACAATTAATCAAAAAAATGCTCAATTTAATTTGTAGCAACCCTGGAAACCATACACTAGACTTACACTTCGAAACAGCCAGATTTAATAAATTTCATATTAATTTCAGTGCGTTAGACTTCTACTTACTAATACATCCTGACTCGAATTAAGGTACACGTGATCGTTCATTAGATTTATACGATGCTTTACATATACATTATCATATAGTACTCTACATGGTTTCTACACATGTTCTGCTATATTTGAAGAGCTTCGTTTACACCCAAGAATCATGTTATGGCTACTAAGTTTGTGATTTAGGAAGCATTCTTCTTTTTATAATACATTGTGTGTTTTTGACTTACCTTCAGTATATTTATGGGGAACATGAAGTATTTTGTGTTTTTGATTTACTTTCAGTCTATTTGTGCTAGAAATGCTGTATTTTGTTTTTGACTTATCTTCATTCTAGTTGTTCTAGAGACGCAGTATTTTGCGTTTTTGACTTGCCTTCAGTCTATGTATGGTAAAGATGCATATTTTGTGTTTATGACTTACCTTCAGTTTATTTATATTAGACATGCAGTATTGCGTGTTTTCGACTTACCCTTAGAATATTAGCAGTATTTCTTGTTTTAACTTATTTTTATTCTATTTATTGTAGGCATGAAGTATTTTGTGTTCTTGACTTACTTCAGTCTATTTATGGTGGACATGCAGTATTTTGTATTTTTGACTTACCTTCAAGTTACTTATGCTAGACATGAGGTATTTTGTGTTTTTGGCTTACCTTCATTCGATTTATTTTAGGTATGTAATACGTTGTGTTTTTAACTTGCAGAATATTCATGCTAGACATGCATTATTTTGTGCTTTTATTTTAACTTCATTTTATTTGCCTGGACATGAGGTATTTTGTGTTTTTGAATCACTTTCATTCTAGCTATATAGTATTTTGTGTTTTTGACTTGCCTTCAGTCTATTTATGTTAGACATGCAGTATTTTGTGTTTTCATTTTCCTACAGTCTGTTTATGTTAGACATGTAGTATTTTATGTTTTTGAGTTGACTTCATTTGCAGTATTTTGTGTTTTTGACTCGTCTTTAGTCTATTTATTCTAGAGATGCAGTATTCTGTGTTTTTGATTTACCTTCAGTCTATTTATATTAGATATGTAGTATTTCATGTTTTGGTGTCTCTCCCAGTCTATTTACGTTGGACATACAGTATTTCGTGTTTTTGGCTTACCTTCAGCCTACTTATGTTAGACGTGGAGTATTTTTATGTTTTTGGCTTACTTTCGTACTATTGTTCCTAGACACGCAGTATTTTCAGTTTTTGCTTAATTTTCAGCTACTTATGCTAGACATGCAATATTTTGTGTTTTGGCTTATATTCAAACCAATTATGCTGGAATTTGTATTTTTGACGTAACTTCAGTCTATTTATATTAGACATGCAGTATTTTGTGTTTTTAACTTACCTTCAGTCTATTGATGCTGAACGTGTAGTATTTTGTGTTTTTGTCTTACCTTCAACATATTTGTATTAGACATGCAGTATTTTATGTTTTTGACTTACCCTTTATTCATTTATGTCGGACATGCAATATTTTGTGTTTCTGAGTCACCTTCAGTCTATTTATGTTGTATGTACAGTATTTTATATTTTTGGTTTACCTTCAGCCTATTTATGATGAACATACAGTATTTTGTGTAGTATTTGGTATGTTTGACTTGCTTTCAGTCTATTTGTATTAGACATACAGTATTTCGTGTTTTTGACTTACATTCAGTCTAGTTGGGTTTTTAGCTTACTTTGAGGTTATTTATGCTAAAAATGCTGTATTTTGTGTTTTTGACTTATCCTCAGTATACCTATGCTAGAGATAAAGTATTTTGTGTTTTTGACCTACCTTCAATCTATTTATTCTAGACAAATAGCTTTTTTGGTTTTCGCTTTTACGGTATTTATTTTCTCTAGTTTAAAATGTGAACCTGTTGCAACTGTGAACTAATATTTCTTTAGTTGTGCTAGAGTGCGAAATTAAACAGATCATTTGCCATGTCTGTCGTGATTTCATTAGCTGAGGCCATAGTACATATAATCAGACTACCTGGTGGTTACTCAAAGCGTCTTAGGTAGTTGTTTTTTAATGGTTAGTTAAATCAGATAAAATACTGCACAGCTTTATATGAATTAATAACTCTAATAATTTCTTAAATGAAATTTAATACCAGTACATTTTACTTAATTAACTGTTTGTTGGTTTTGTAATTGAAAGATTCCATTTAATTTCACTTTATGATCTAGCACAAATATCAATTTATTCGCGTTGAAAAACAAAAACACAAAATGTGTAAAAGGTTGTAACTTTCAGATTATGATTCTTTACGAAACTTTCTCATGCTAGAAACTTCGTTTGAATTTTATATTTTCCCTTGTTTGATAACATAATAGCTGTGACTTAATGAAATTTAACTTTTAACTTAGCTAAAAGCCATTAATTTATGTTTTCACATTATGAAAATTCTATCCAAAAATTGTAAAGAGGAACATTCATTAATTTTCTATTTACATTACTGGTTTCGCACAGATGACTCAAGATAATGAATAAAGTCAAATTAATTTAAAAGGCTGAGAATATTGAGACGAAACTTTCATACAAGTGATGCAATTTATGTAAGTTAATTTCACGTAACACTCTCAGAATTGATAGTGAAATGCTGATTAAATTGGCAAACATAATTTTTATTGTTTATTACATAATCTGTCAATTACAAAGATATCTAATTATTGAAAAGAAACTCGTTGTATGGGCACTAAGCAGTTTATTTAATAGTTCTAGTTGGGGTATCCAAAAAGCTATGTTTGTTCAATAATTTTGTATATCAATGAACTGAAGTTAATAACTATTTTTGCTTTCTTTCGTAAGATTGTTAATGTTTTGAGCTCAGGGTGAAATATTGACTTCCATATATTTAGAAGCAGACATTCTTTCAATGATACAAAACAAATTTTTTTATATGTGGTTGAATATCTCTGTCGTATTGCCAAGTATTGATTAGTAGATTTAAATGTATTGATGCAATAAAAATTGTTATAAACTTTATTTCGTTGTGGTCATTTTTATTGCAGTTATCTTTCATTTTTCCCTAGTTAGATTTATAATTCACGAAACTTAAAAAAAAAAGAAGAAATTGTTTGTTTGATAGAATACTTATCGAACACAAACGTAAAATTTAAGTACATGAAAACGAAGCATCACAAAGTTACTAGTTCTTGGATTAACGGTGAATATTTCAGTAGATGGGATCATAATAGTTTAGATGTGCTGAGCTTCTATTACTTATCATAAATCATTGCCCTATGCGAAGAATTATGTGTAAGTAATTGTGTATATATATTTTGTATAAAGAATAAAATGAAGTGTGCAGTTCTTTATCAGTTCCAACTTGTAGAAACGACATGATAACTAAAGGAAAATCTCTGACACGTATCAATTTTATAATGAGAAAGGGTTAATATTAGAAAGAGTAAAGAAAAAACCTCTAATAGAATTGTAACAACAACTCAAGGAAAACAAATTATTGAAACGAGGTGTCGCAATATGAAGATTATAACCTTAATTTCAACAACGAAATTTAGGATGCAACAGAATAAGATATGTGCAACGTTTTGCTGGATTACACTTGGGATCAAGAGATTACAAGCAACAATAAACACACACACACACTTATAAAAACGTTTAAAATAAATCAATAACTGCTAAGAACAGCCAATGAGGTCTGAGTTACTCGATCCACCTGACAAATTGAGAAAGGCCTCTGGATGTTTATTGATGTCCGGCTTATGTTTTTGAATAATTTTTTTCTTTTTGCTTCATCTTGTTCATAAGCTAAAGCCTGAGCATGAACAACTTTCTTCTTGTAGGTTCAAAGATATATAATAGTTAGCACGTTTAACTCCCTCTTCGCCTCTCCAAAGTAAAAATCATCAAAACGTGAGCAGTCTATTCTACAGATGCATTTTGCCAAGGCTATGTTAATTTGAAATAAAATATTTCAAATTCTTACTAGATATAAATTTCACAGGGGAATTTAACATTGTAATATTTTTCTGTATTTGACCAAGTGGTAGCTTAAGTTTCTGCTGCCTTCAAGACCGTGACGAGGGATGTCCATGGTATCCACTGTGCCATTATTACATGAAACTTCAGTGTTTTTATTTGTTTTGTGTTCCTAGCTACACGGAAACTTCAATGTGTTTTTTACTTGGCCCATGTTCCCAGCTTCATGAAAACTTCACTGTTCGTTGTTTACTTTATATTCAAAGCTACATGGAAACTTCCCTGCTCGTTGTTTACTTTATATTCCAAGCTACACGGAAACTTTTCTGTTTTTTGTTTACCTTATGTTCCAAAATACAGTGAAGTAATAAGATGTGTTTTATCAAAAAAGGGGGAAAAAATGTTGAATTTCCTATAAACGTCAAGATTAAGCCCGGCAAAACGTTATATTATTTGATTTTTAAAACATATTCTGGACAAAATTTTTGATCAAATTTCTGTTTACTTTTATAAATTTAGCCAATAAAAGTAAAGCAATAAAGAATATACATTTAAAGATGTTAGTTGAGTTGAGTAAAAGCATTTTTGTGCCTCAGGAATTAATCACGTGGCTAAACTTCACTGCTTAAACTTTTAAAGTCCGAAGTCACTACTATTATATTCTCGCTCACCGTTTCAGTTTGAACTAGAGATTGGTGGTAATTTAAACATTTACTACAAAATAACAGGATCGCTTACATTCATTTTGAAGGATTTTCAACGCTTCTAATGAATCTCCCTTTGCGAGAATTGTGAAATTGATTTGCTTACACTTTTCTTTAGAATATATTCAAAGTTAATAATGTCTATGTGATTGCTTATTTTGTAAAACTTTTGCTAAAAATTTCAAAAGCAATATAATAGGCGCCGTCATTCATAGCAAATCATCCGTCAGAACAAATTAATATCAGGCGGGACAACTGAATCAAGACATCGCTGCACTATTTCTATTCAGCTTATGAAAAACAACAACAACAGAATCCAGGCTATCGTTGAATTATTAAGCGTGACTTTGTGTTGATCTTCATTATAGCTTTGTTTTAGTTTTTTCGTATCAGACCAGCTGTTACATGAGCACAGTCAGAACCCGAGGAGAAACAATGAAATTCCAATGAAGCCAGCTTGGAAGTCAAACTTCCCTACTCGAACACAATCTTTGTTAAACAAAAATGAGAGAATAAGAGGGGAAAAAAAAGAAACATTACCCCGTTTGGTGAACTTTATATAGCCAAAATTTAGAAGTAACCATGTTGAAAGGATCCAATAGAATAAAACGGCTACGTATATTTCTGAGAGGCAGGAAACAATCTCAACGGACATGACTTTACGTGGTATCATTAATCACGTATGTTTCATTAATAAAAATGGGAGGCTAAATAAGAGTCCTTTATACGCGAAAAGGTATGGAAATTGGCCTACATTTGTGTAATTGAATGAATATATATATACATAATGCAGGATGCTTTATAATCTTTACTTTTTTCTTTTAGAAAAATTTTACGAACATTGTGCCTTTCTTGAAACAAATGTATGGATATGAATCCATTATTAGAATTAAATATATAAGCTAAGCTAATACCAGTAACGCTTGATCTACGAAGTATTCTCCGTCTCCAATCCCCAAAATATCTTTCTATTTTTGTAAACATATAAAGTTTTATTTGTCCAAACAAAATCCAGTCAATGATATAACTTTAACACCTAAAATTAGGCTGAGAAGACTTTTAAAAAGTTATTTTATGTCATGTATAAATTTTCTCAGTATATAATATCTAAATTGCGTGATATAATGACAAAACCTTACCAATCTTAAAGTTGACGGATGGCTCAAACCAGCTAGAAACCGAGTTTTGATACCTGTGGTGGGCAGAGCACCGATAGCCCATTTTGTTGCTTTGTGCTTAACTACAACCAAAGAAGCTAACATCAGTAACGCTTGATCTATGAAGTATTCTCTGTCTCCAAACCCCAAAATGTCTCCTTGTTTTGTAAACATAGAAAGTTATATTTATAGGACGGATAAACGTCCAAGTAAAAATCGTAGTAAGTAATTGTTCTTTCGTGTAAAAATGTGATGCCATTCAAGATAGAAGGTAACTACGTTCAGAATTAAGCATAATGCTCATATATTTCATACGTTATGGTTGAAAACTTTAAACCATCTATGTTTTAGTTTAGCACCACAGTTTTATTATCTAATATATGGAAACTAGACCAAATGATATCTCTGTTTGTTTCGGTTTGTTCTGAATTTCGCACAAAGCTATACGAGAGCTATCTGCGCTAGCCGTCCCTAATTTGTCAATGATAGACTAGAGGGAAGGCAGCTAGTCAACACCACCCACCACCAACTCTTGGACTACTAATAGTGGGATTGATCATCACTTATAACGCCCCCATTTACATATAATATTTGTACAATACACTTAACTTTCTATTGTTGATAGCAGGCAAAACAATATTTAATACTTAATTCTGAAATGATGGAAAGCTCCTAATATTTATATAAGACAGCAATAGAATTCAATATTGCGAGACAAAATATAGCCGAAAATAAGTTCTTTGTTCAGTACATAAAAGACTTGGGCATTTTTGCCATGCGACTAAACCTTGCACTCAGGGGGAACTAAGACAAAATATGTTTCACTGCAACTGCATAAGTTTGTGAACAAAAACTATGTTAATAGAATAACTAGAAACAGCCTGAAGATACGAGAAATTTATTATGTAATTATAGTGTGTAAAGTGTATACCACATTAAGACAATAATCGTTGTCCTTGCGTAATGAAACAAGAGTTTTCTACACTTTTCAAGGTACAGTTTCTTGTACTTTCTTTGTTCTTAATATGTATCTTAATATGAACATTGTTACATAATATAGTACTTAATAAGAAAGATCGTGCACTATTGAAACGTTCTGAGCTTGTATTGTAATTTTAAACTTTAAACGCTAGTTAAAATAATTGTTAGAAGACAACATAAATGTTTATCAATAGATTGATATAATCTTGATGAATAGCCTCATGTCTTAACTGCTTGTAAACATACCATCAATATCCTCGTCTATTGGCACTTTTTATTGCATACTTTCCTATTTTTGACACTGACTTCCCACTACAAATTAACACTCATTCACACTGAGACATAAAACACTTATATAATATAAGGTACCCATAAAATACTTACCAAGTAAAGTGTTGTGTTAAAAACCAAAATTAACAACTAAACAATTAAAGTAATGTAGGCTATGACTTCGAAGATAGACCAGTAATATCTAACTTTCATAAAAATCTACAAGAGACTAACTCAGAGAAATTATTTCAGAAAATTATGTGTCAGTTAACGTGATCTTGGGTTGTTTAATTCATACTGTAAAAGCCATAAATCAGCTCATCGACAGTTTTAAGATATTTTTTAACATTTATATTAAACTCAAATCCATAAGGATATTTTCACATTCACCTATTTTTTATTAGTTTCTGAAATATTACATATTGCTTAACTTATTTTCTTAAAAAAATATTTTATTAGTTTGTTTACCAACTCGACATCCATATGTTTGTGGCTAAACATCACAGTGAGAAAATTATATTATATATATGCAGTAAGTATAGTAAAATAAGCACTGCATACAGCTATACTTCGCGATTAAGAAAAATGCGAAAATACAAAAACTAAAATATTCTATAGTAACGTTGAAGAATTAATATGTCTCGCATATAAGGATCTGAGAACCATGGTACATATTTATCATGATTTCTTTTTATTATTATTTTCCGTTACTATTTTAGAAAGATTTATTTAACATATTCAAAGAGAAAAGTAGCGTATAAAATTACCTTTAAAATCAATATTGTATGGTATTTCAGACAGAGTAAATATTGAGAATACCGTAGTACTTAATATAGGTAGATAAATTTAGGTGTTTATATTATGTTTTTAAAAGCTTCTTAGGGGTTGTATGGAACAAACTAAATACTGAAACTTATAATGATAAATTAAA